AAATCAGGCGCCCACCCGGAGAACAAGGGAATACAATTGGCAATCAGGCGCCCACCTGGAGAACAAGGGAATACAGTTCAAGTTTTGGCAATCAGGCTCTGACCTGGAGAACAAGGGAATACACTTCAAGTTTTGGCAATCTGGCGCCGACCTGGAGAACAAGAGAATACAATTCAAGTTTCGGCAATCAGGCGCCCACCTGGAGAACAAGGGAATACAGTTCAAGTTTTAGCAATCAGGCGCTCATCTGGTGAACAAGGGAATACAGTTCACGTTTTGGCAATCAGGCGCCCACCTGGAGAACAAGGAAATACAGTTCATGTTTTGGCAATCAGGTGCCCACATGGAGAACAAGGGAATACGGTTCAAGTTTCAGCAATCAGGCGCCCACCCGGAGAACAAGGGAATACATTTCAAGTTTTGGCAATCAGGCGCCCACCTGGAGAACAAGGGAATACAGTTCAAGCTTGGGCAATCAGGCGCGCACCAGGAGAATAAGGGAAGACAGTTCAAGTTTCGGCAATCAGGCGCCCACCTAGAGAACAAGGGAATACAGTTCAAGCTTCTGTGATCAGCTGCCCGCCTGGGGAACAAGGGAATACAGTTCAAGTTTCGGCAATCAGGCGCGCACCTAGAGAACAAGGGAATACAGTTCATGTTTTGGTAACCAGGCGCCCACCTGGAGAACAAGGGAATACAGTTCAAGTATTGGCAATCAGGCGCCCAACTGGAGAACAAGAGAAGACAGTTCAAGTTTTGGGAATCAGGCACTCACATGGAGAACAAGGGAATACAGTTCATGTTTTTGCAATCAGGCGCCCACCTGGAGAACAAGGGAATACAGTTCAAGTTTTGGCAATCAGGCGCCCACCTGGAGAACAAGGGAATACAATTCAAGTTTTGGCAATCAGGCGCCCACCTGGAGAACAAGGGAATACAATTCATGTTTTTGGCAATCAGGAGCTCACCCGGTGAACAAGGGAATACAGTTCAGGTTTTGGCAATCAGGCGCCCACCTGGAGAACAAGGGAATACAGTTCAAGTTTTGGCAATCAGGCGCCCACCTGGAGAACAAGGGAATACAGTTCAAGTTTTGGCAATCAGGCGCCCACCTTGAGAACAAGGGAATACATTTCAAGTTTCGGCAATCAGGCGCCCACCTGGAGAACAAGGGAATACAGTTCAAGTTTCGGCAATCAGGCGCTCACCTGGAGAACAAGGGAATACAGTTCAAGTTTTGGCAATCAGGCGCCCACCTGGAGAACAAGGGAATACAGTTCAAGTTTTGGCAATCAGGCGCCCACCTGGAGAACAAGGGAATACAATTTTAGTTTTGGCAATCAGGCGCCCACCTGGAGAACAAGGGAATACTGTTCGAGTTTTGGCAATCAGGCGCCCACCTGGAGAACAAGGGAATACAGTTCGAGTTTTGGCAATAAGGCGCCCACCTAGAAAACAAGGGAATACAGTTCGAGTTTAGGCAATTAGGCACCCACCTGGAGAACAAGGGAATACAGTTCAAGTTTTGGCAATCAGGTGCCGACCTGGAGAACAAGGGAATACAGTTCAAGTTTTGGCAATTAGGCGCCCACGTGGAGAACAAGGGAAGTAACTTCAAAATTCGTTTTGGAATTATTTCAAGCTTTCAAGTCAGTAGCAGGAACCCACTTGGAGAACAAGGGAAGTCATTTCAGAATTCAATTCAAGTTAGAAGTAGCAGAAGCTCGCGGCAAGAATGCGAGTCAACAGTCCGAGATGATCAACAAAAGTTAGTCACAAACCAAAAGAAAGAAAAGAAAAAAAAAAGAGGGATGTGAATCCAAATGTAGAAGCAGATGAAAGATGTGAACTGCTCAAAGATATGGTTGAAGTCACAAGCACTACACGTCCGGTCTTGATCCGAGATACTGAAGAAGAACGAGCTAGCATCTGCAGCTAACAAGCGCCAAGGTTCAAATCTAAAGTCTGCATGAAGAACCATTCAAGACTCAAGATCAAGCTTCAGAAGACTTAAAGATAGGAATCTTGTAACTCGTAGTTGACAGGCTTAGTTAGCCTTTTTCATTTTTTGATATTTGATGTAATAACAGGACCGCGGACCGGAACCTCGACGGAACGGCACCTCGACCGGCTCTCCACCTTAGTATACTCCATCACTGTTCCTACTTCTGAGCTACACGTGGCCCGATTCCTTTATAGCCAAGGATATGTAGGTAGCTCAGATACCAGGGCTCGATCACATCCTCCTTTCTCTTAGTTTTTGGTCTCCCTAAATAAGGGTCGAGTCAAAAAAC